CAGCCATTTGTCCGAAATGGTATAGGGTTTCCTGCCTGAGCAGGGGGTTGGACTAGATGACCTCCAAGGTCCCTTCCAACTTTACTACTACTACTACTACTACTACTACTACTACTACTACTACTACTACTACTACTACTACTATTATTATTATTATTATTATTATTATTATTATTATTATTATTATTATTATTATTATAACATACATAGAAACTGGATCAGCCTGGTCCAAATGAAGGGCAAGGAGCATTCTGCCCTGATCGTTTTCCACGTACAAATTTATGCATGCCCACTCACCGGTAAGGGACTCTGACCATCTGTTCTCTTTCTTGTAAAGTTGTGTTTTTTTTCCCCCTTTCAATTCATACTTCCTAGTTCCTTCCTCATGTCAGATTTGGAGGTAAGTAACAGAACGGAAAACTGATCTGGGGAACTGGGAAACTTTGCCTTGTAGACTGGAGGGGGGAAAAAAAATAGAAGTTAAGAAACTTTGGACTTCTGGACGTTCCTCAAAATGCTTTCTGGCTGGAAAAGTTGGAGGACCACGTGCACTAGCTGTGATCAAAACAGGAAACAGATGGAAATTGCAACCCTTTTAGCCAAAAAGGCAGCTAAGAGTTCCTTAGCCGAGAAAAGCAGGAGAAAAGAGCCTGGACATTTGACCGTTTAAACTGACAACTTAAATCTACTCCGTCGGACTTATCTGAAGGGACAAGTAATTTTCCTTTGAACTTTCTGGTTAATAAATGCCATTAATGGCTGGCTTGGGGTTTTAAAGCACTTTGTGTTTGACATTGGTTGAACCCGGTTTAACTGCTTTAATAGGCTTTCTGGATGGAAATTGGACAACGACGAAGTAGACCTTTTAATCTCAACAGTTGTGATTTTTGCCTTTTTTGTGTGTGTGTGTGGTCTTGTGTTTTTGTAGAACCGGAACCAGACGTGGTGGATGGATCTCCCAGGCTTCGCAGCCTGTTTTCAAAACACGATTGCCATTTGGGTCCCTTGCTTCTATCTTTGGGCTTCTTTCCCCTTCTATTACCTTTACCTGCGGAAAAACGGCAGGGGTTACGTCAGGATGTCGGCTCTCTTCAAAGCCAAAATGGTAAGGTTCAAACCCCGGGAGAAGGATTCCAGACATAGATAAATAAACAATGTCAGTCTGTTTGTTTATTTGTTCCATTTCAGTGGCTGCCCGTTTCAATGCATGAGTCTGGAGGGCTCACCCTTCATAAAACATATTACAATTAAAAAGTTAAAAACTGTTTTAAAACAAAAACAGTAACACTGGTAAAAAAACAAACAAACATTAAAAACATCCAATTCAATCCAGGCTGAGATTATCACCATCATTTATGCTCTTCTTTTTCATCCTAAATGGCCAAAAGACACAAATAAGAATGATAAAGCAGTAGAAATACAATTTAAAATACAGGTAGCCTTTGGCATACGACCAGTGGTGGGATTCAAATAGGTGACCAACCGGTTCTCTGTGTGGATTGCCGCTTCCGGAAGTCCGTTCTGGGCCTGGGCAACAAAAAATTAGCTACCGGTTCTGCCAAAGTGGTGCGAACCAGCTGAATCCCACCACTACATACAACTCAGATTGGGAACAGAATTTCCATGGCTAAGCGAGGGAGTCGTGTCTGACTTTACAAACTTTTGGACACGGTTGTTAAGCAAATCACGGGGTGTTAAGTGAATCTGGAATCCATCTTGTTGGAAGCAAGATGGAAGGTCAGAAATGGCAATTGCATGACTCCGAGGTGATGGTGATGATGATGATGATGATGATGATGATGATGGAAGGGACCTTGGGGGTCATCTATCCAACCCCCTGCTCAGGCAGGAAACCCTACACCATTTCAGACAAACGGCTGTCCAGTCTCTTCTTGAAAACTTCCGGTGATGCTACAGCCATTATAAATACATGAAGTTTCCCAAATGCATGAGTTTTGATGACGTGGTCGTTGGGATGCTACAATGGTTGTTGTGTGAGGATTGGTTGTCAGTCCCTTTTCTCAGTGCTATTGTAGCTTGGAATGTCGCTAAATGAACGGTTGTAAGTCGAGTACCCCCTATAATGACAGCTCTGTAATAACAGTTGGAAACAGATGGATCTCAGGAGCAATTTTTTCTGACGGTGCTTTTTTCCGTCTCTTTNTGGTCGTTGGGATGCTACAATGGTTGTTGTGTGAGGATTGGTTGTCAGTCCCTTTTCTCAGTGCTATTGTAGCTTGGAATGTCGCTAAATGAACGGTTGTAAGTCGAGTACCCCCTATAATGACAGCTCTGTAATAACAGTTGGAAACAGATGGATCTCAGGAGCAATTTTTTCTGACGGTGCTTTTTTCCGTCTCTTTAGATTCTGGGCTTTGCCTTGTCAGTGCTGTGCTTCTCCACCATCTGCTATCTCCTTTGGGAAGCTAGCCAAGGGGTTTCCCCAGCGCCCGGACTCATCGTTAGCCCTACAGTTCAACTAGTCACCATGGTGAGAACAATTCATTTGTCTATCAATGGAGATTCTCAGTCCTTCAGGTCATCGTTGTTCCCAAAGGTGCTTTTTCACGAGACAACTGGACCTTCTTGTTTTTCTCCACCATTCCGTCAGAACTGAAGAAGCTTCTGGGATGAGAAGCAAAAACGTCTTCAAAGAAAAACAAGAAAGTCCAACTGCCTCGTGAAAAAGCACCATTGGGACAATTTCATTTGTCTCTATTTTTCACACTCCAATTGTCTCAGAACTTCAGAACTTGTGATCACCGGAAGGAGAAACTTGATATTATTAGCCATAAATGCAGGCAAGATCCGTTAGCCCAGGGGTCCCCAGCCCCCAGTCCGTGGACCAGTAGCGGGCTGCAGCATGCCAGCAACCGGTCCGCACAAACAAGCAAAATTCCATCCACAGGATGCAGGCAGCACACAAGACCACACACCCTCCGGTCCATGGAAAAAACTCTCTCCACGGAACCGGTCCCTGGTGCCCAAAAGGTTGGGGACCTCTGTGTTAGCCCTTTGTGCCTTGCCTAATTAGAATCCAAGCCAGAAAGATGGTTGAATATCTATTTATTCATAAACAAGGAGAAGCCCCCCCCCCCAAAAAAAAGGTAGGGAATCACTTTAGATACAGTTCAAACACATTGGGCTTGGAACAAGTTCTTTCATTAGCATCGTTGGACTCCTTGCTGATGTTACCCATTTAACATGTCACATTTAATAGCATCCCATAATATTCATACTTCGATCTTGTTAATGCCCATCCTCATATCCAGGAGGCGTGGTTTTTGCAATATAATGAGGCATAAGGAATTGCAAGTTACTAGACTTCTTTGTACAGTCCTTGATTTTAGCACGCCTGAACTTGTTCGGATCAGAATCCTCCTTCCTCATGGAGAATTTGCTCCGTTACTTCAAGGGAATAGAGACCTTAATCTAAGGCACTCCTAGTTACTGAAAACATTGCCCAACGAGGTCCTTCTCTCCTGCTCCCATCAATACGCTAAGCCTGAAAAAGAAGCGAGGCACCCTGGCTGATGTGTTGTTACCCAGAAATAGACCAGTCCTTGCTTTCCATTGCCCTAGAAGACATTAAACTTCCATCTAATGGGCAAAAATGACAGGAGGGCAGAGTTCATCTGAAATTTCAGATGACTTGACTCAGATTTTAACCAGGAGACAAACATAATAGAAAGTTGAGGTTTATGTAAAACACCTTTGCTGGAGAATATTCTGGATCCCTTGCTTTCTCCGTGGTTGATCTGGTTCCTCAAAAACCGATTGGAATTCAACCCTACACATCCTTTATATTTAGCATTTCTCCTCCTTTTCCCCCCCTCTTAGATCCTAGTGATTTTTCTCACCCAGATGGAACGGATGAAAGGGGTCCAATCCTCGGGCATTTTGATGGTCTTTTGGCTGCTGTCTCTCCTCTCTTCTAGTCTCTCCTTCAGCTTCAAAATGCACCGTGCTATGCAAGGGGTAAGTCTGCCTCTGTTCAACCTGGTGAGATAGTTCAGACAAGGAGCACAACCAGAGAGACGTATTAGCTCTAGTATCTTAATTGTAAGGTATCTTAACAGAAGCTTACAGGTTGGAAAGCATGTCTCTCTCTTCCCCCACCCTCGCTTTTACAGTCCCAGAAACTAGGAAGGGTCTCTTCTGAGACATTTAGAACATAGCATGATGGACTGATTTAAGGATTAAGTTTTTGAGTAGAAATAAGAAAAAAATGGGTGATTATTATTATATAATGGAATGAAGAATAATAAAGAGATGTTTTAGATCGGGATTGAATTAATAATTAATTGAATGTGATTTTAATAAGATGATGTGTTTTGTTTGATAATATGGGTGATATTAGGTTTGATAATTAATTGGATGAAATCAGAACCTTGTCCAAGGGACTCAAATGATTTAAGGTTGATATTATTTTGTTAGTTTAAAAAAAATCGATCGATTGATTGATGGATTAGATATGTATAGGATAGCTCAATATTTTATTTTAACTGGGAGATAGTAGTGGAAGAAGGAATAAGCAAGATTTATGATGAAATTAAAGAATTAGGATATACGTATTTGGAAGGGATATCTGAACTGATAATGTGTGTATTTAAAGTTAAATTTGATTATGGCCTTGTAACTGCATAAAGCTCTAAAACAGGTTTAGGATTAATAGAAATGTAAGTTAGAAATAGACTATTTTAAATATACTGCTCACAAAAATAAAGGGAACGCAAACCCCTTCAGTTCCATGGTAAAATGTTCCCTTTATTTTTGTGAGCAGTATATATAAGCTATTTGAGGGAAATAGAGAGAGAATATTTGATGTACTGATTGAATTACTTACATATGTTTTGTTTTTGGGTTTTCGATTATCCCAGCACCACGGTGTGTCTCGAGCACTTTGTATTAAGAATTAAAAAAACAATAAAATTTGTTTTAAAAAGAACATAGAATGATACAGCTGAAAAGAACCTCAGAGGTCTTCTAGTCATTATGAAAATAAGAACGTGGCAGACTATTTGATTGATTGATTGATTGATTGATTGATTGATTGATTGATTGATTGACAGGGATTCCAAGAACAGCCATTCCACCATCTTTCTGTGTACATTTATTTTGTCCTGGTTTTCTTGGAACTGGTGTTGTGCTGTTTTACAGATCCACCGCCTTTCTTTTCCAACGTTAGCAGTGACTCGGTAAGTATCAGATATTTTTGGTTGTTTCTTTTAGAGTTTGGGATAGATTTTAGGATCTTGGTACTTTTTAAAGACTCTAGACCAGGGGTAGGCAACCTTGGCTCTTTTATGACTGGTGGACTTCAACTCCCAGAATTCCTGAGCCAGCCATGCTGAGGGGAAAGGGAGAGGTTTCCAAGCTGAGCCATGCGGCTCAGGAATTCTGGGAGTTGAAGTCCACGAGTCATAAAAGAGCCAAGGTTGCCTACCCCAGCTCTAGACGTTGGCATTTACAACAGATTGATGGGTTCTGTCTCAGCAGCCTTTTTCCCAAAGAGTAGATTTTAAACATTTCCATTTGTTGTAATTTTCACTATTTCCTAAACTTGTCCTATTAACATCCATTCCTTATACAACAGAAACATGTAAATTTGAGAGTGGGATAAATGCATAAACTCAGGCTATGTCCTCAGCGTTGATGTATGCAAATTTGGTCCTTTTCTTTAAACATTCGCAGAATCCCTGTCCTGAATCTGGAGCCTCTTTTGTTTCCAAAGTCACTTTCTGGTGGTTTGCTCGGTAAGAATTTCAACGTTATTGCCCCCCGGCTTTTAAGTGACAAGCGATGGCTGTCTGATCCATCTGTTTGACTGGGCAAGATATTTTTTTGCCAAGCATTTTCCTGCTCCGAGTTAAGCCAGGCTGCCTTCTGCTGTTAATCAAAGCTGCTCTTGGAAGCAAACGTCATTATGGGGAGCTGACAGTAATATTATGCCTCTGCAGAGAGGCAGTTTGGAGAGCAATCTGGGGGATTCAGGCCTTAAATTAAGGAGCTGCAGCAAAAAGTGGTTTTTATTTATTTTTTTCTTTTTACGGCCAAAAGACCCAAAGAACACAGTGCAGATATAATTTCAACATTTGACAGAAGGTAAACAAGAGGAGTGCTCTGTGCTACTTCAAAGCACCTTGAGCCTTTGGAAACCAAAGCACTGCAGTCTTGTTTGAGCAACCCGAGAGACGTCACAACTTGTAAGGCTTGCAAATAACTAGTGCTGTGCAAAGCCTTGGTTTGAAGGCTGCTGAGCTGAAAATTTCCTTTCAGTCCAGTTCTGAAATGGAATGGGATGGGATGGAATACAATGCAGAACAGAATTGAATAGAGTAGAATACAGTGGAATGGAATGGAACGGAATGAAACAGAATGGAACGGAACAGAATAGAATATTGAAGACTAGACTAGACTAGACTAGACTAGACTAGACTAGACTAGACTAGACTAGACTAGACTAGACTAGACTAGACTAGAATAGACTAGACTAGACTGGACTGGACTGGACTGGACTGGACTGGACTGGACTGGACAGAAGAGAGGAGAGGAGAGGAGAGGAGAGGAGAAGAGAAGAGAAGAGAAGAGAAGAGAAGAGAAGAGAAGAGAAGAGAAGAGAAGAGAAGAGAAGAGAAGAGAAGAGAAGAGAAGAGAAGAGAAGAGAAGAGAAGAGAAGTGTGAAGACTGAAGATTGAAGATTAGACTAGACTAACTGGAATAGAATAGAATAGAATAGAATAGAATAGAATAGAATAGAATAGAATAGAATATTGAAGACTAGACTAGACTAGACTAGATTGGACTGGACTGGACTGGACTGGAGAGAAGAGAAGAGAAGAGAAGAGAAGAGAAGAGAAGAGAAGAGAAGAGAAGAGTGAAGAGTGAAGAGTGAAGATTAGACTAGACTAACTGGAATAGAATAGAATAGAATAGAATAGAATAGAATAGAATAGAATAGAATAGAATAGAATAGAATACTTTATTTGGCCAAGTGTGATTAAACAGACAAGGAATTTGTCTCTGGTACAGAAGCATTCAGTGTACTGCAAAGCAACAGAATAATGATAATCATAATAATAACACCAATAAGAGGGGGGAGTAAAGAAGATAATAAGGATAAATAATAAAACTAGAACCGTACCACACGGGTAAATACACATAGACATTAGACAGCACTGTGAAAATTAAATGTTCAGCAGAGTGATGGCAGGAGTGGGGGAAAAAATCCCGTGTCTAGTTGTTTTGGCATGCAATGCCCTATAGCGCCATCCCAAGGAGGGGAGTTGAAACAAGTTTATCAAGTCCCTTCCGGTCAGTTTGTTTCCCGGAGTTCTGCTCATAGATGTGAACCCCTGTCCTTGAAGCCATCATCCAGGTTGACCCAACTCATTCAGTCCATGATTCATAATGGATCTGGGGTGATTCATGGGCATCTAGCAAGAACTGCATATCAACCAACCTTTATTTCCAGTCCAAGACCAAACACAACAACAGATTAATCTGTTGCATATCGTTTCTTTTTCCTCTGCTTGTGATTTTTCTTTTTGTTCCGTACAGGCTGATCTGGAAAGGCTACTGGACACCCTTGCAGCAAGAAGACCTGTGGTCACTAGCCAGAGACAACTCTTCTGAAGAAATCATTGGCAAGGTGAAGGACGCTTGGGATAAACACTCTCCAAGAACCGAACAGTAGGTTGTCTTGTGTTTGTGTCTGTTTTTTCTGGCTGTCCTGTTGATTAAGGAGACGCTGGATGGCTTTTTAGCTCTCGGTTTCTCCCTATTCCTCTTTTAATCGTATTTCTCTTTTGGGGAGAGACTTAGCAATTGGCAAAATACTGGAAACGACACCCAGAGACGCACACTGACATGTGTTTCCTGCAGAACGACCAAATGTGTAAGATTGAAAAGAAGGCAAACCCAGAGGGAAAATGCCGATGAGACGGTCACCTTGCTCCAACCGGAAGCTAGCAAGAGCAAAGAGCTTTTGAAAAGTTTCTGGACTGTTTTTGGAACTCATTTTCTTCTGGCGACCCTCTGTTTGCTCACCTGCGATGTCTTCTTGTTCTCGGTTCCAAAGATACTGAGGTATGTGGACGTGAGACTTTGTTTCCAAAGTGGGGTTGCCCAGATTCTTTGAGGGCCATCTAGTCCCAACTTCTCTTTGCTCTGGAGTTTGTTCCAGGAAAGTAGCTGCCATCAGAGTAAATAATACGATGTAAAAAAGATGTTGAGACTCTAGAAAGAGTACAGAGAAGAGCAACAAAGATGATCAGGGGACTGGAGGCTAAAACATATAAGGAACGGTTGCTGGAATTGGGTATGTCTAGTTTAACAAAGAGAAGGACGAGGGGGGACAGGATAGCAGTCTTCCAATATCTCAGGGGCTGCCCCAAAGAAGAGGGAGTCAAGCTATCCTCCAAAGCGCCTGAAGGCAGGACAAGAAGCAACGGGTGGAAACTCATCAAGGAGAGAAGCAACCTAGAACTAAGGAGAAACTTCCTGACAGTTAGAACAATTAACCAGTGGAACAACCTGCCTCCAGAAGCGGTGAATGCGCCAACACTGGAAGTTTTTAAGAAGAAACTGGACAGCCATTTGTCCGAAATGGTATAGGGTTTCCTGCCTGAGCAGGGGGTCTGACTAGATGACCTCCAAGGTTCCTTCCAACTTTATCATCATCATCATCATCATCATCATCATCATCATCATCATCATCATCATTATTATTATTATTACTAGATGAGACAATAGTTCACGCGTCAGACATATCTTGGCAAACAGCATCCTGACATCTTTGGTTGAAAGGACCAGGTAATGGGGGATGGAAAAGATATGCATCCATTTGGGATTTTAGTGTCAGGCATGAAGAATCAGAATCAGGACTATAGGTTATGTTGTAGTTAAGAAGGTGTATTGCTCAAGCCTGTACACAAGAATCTAGTCGTCTAATAATCATACCTAAATTGGCACTAGATAAGACTCAATAGAATTGGAGATGGGCTGGACTTGGACTTTGTGGGAACATAAGGACTTCAGGCTAATGACTCGCTTAACTCCGCCCCCAGCTCTATCTGTTCTTCTCCTACATATAGAGAGCCCTGTCCTGTCTGCCGAGCTAAAAAATAAACTGGATTCACCTAACACAATTAACTTAATGGCTCATTTAACCCATTTCCTTGGGTTTGACCATATACAAATTTCAAAACTAGCCAAGATTAAGATGAGCCACATTTTCTAACTTTATATAGATGCCACTGTTAGGTCCTATTTCTCTATTCGAATCGAGACAAATACAGCGATACTCGAACTTGGAAGAGGAGAACTTTTTAAGATCCTAATGGCCACCGTTGTCCTAAAGGTTTATGGGCTGTTGTGGTTCTCGTTCAAGGACAGTAGATTTACTTTTATTCTTCTTGTAGTCTTTTCCTAGATTTTATCAATGACCAAGAAGCTCCTCTTTGGATAGGTTATTTCTATGCTGCCGCAATGTTCCTTTTGGTTTGTCTGCAGACGTTGTTTGAGCAGCGGTACATGTATATATGTTTCATGCTGGGCATGAGGTTTAAAACAGCCATTACCGGCCTTGTTTATCGGAAGGTAAATCCTGTTCTTTGTTGATCTTTTTTTTTTTAACTCTGTGGTGCTCCTGTGAAGTATATTTAGGCCTTTCCGAAGGGGGTCAGTTTCAAAGGGATGGAAAGATGGCGCAGAACTGGAGTACTGAAGTTGCAAATGACACTGGTGACATACAGGTAGTCCTCGGCTTACAGCAGTTCGTTTAGTGACTGTTCAAAGTTACAATAGCACTGAAAAAAGGGACTTATGGCCGTTTTTCACACTTACAACCGTTGCAGCATCCCTGTGGTCCCGTGATCAAAATTCGGACGCTCGGCAACTGACTCGTACTTACAACGGCTGCTGTGTCCTCGGGGGTCACGTGATCCCCTTTTGTGACCTTCTCACAAGCAAAGTCAATGGGGGAAGCCCAGATCCACTTAACGACCGTGTGACTAATTTAACAACGGCAACGATTCACTTAACAACCGTGGCAAGAAAGGTCGTAAAACGGGGCAAAATTCGCTTAACCAATGTCTCACTTAGCGCTATAAATTTTGGGCTCAGTTATTGTCTTACGTCGAGGACTACCCGTATAGACAGTATAGAAGATGACCTTGACAGAGAGACGTTAGGGGAGATGGGTTACCAAAGGTATTAGGCGAACAGCCCCTCTTAAGCCCAAAATATGCAGGTGGAACGTGAAAGCAGTTCTTAGACACTTCCTGAATTCACATGAGTATAGGAGGGGGAAGAGAGGAAGTCCATATTGATATCAGACTTACTAGGTAGACCCAACCAAAACATCAGCTCTAAAACACGACTACTTGTATTAATAAGTGGCTGTAATAACAGAAGGGATCCCTACTAACAAGGGGGGGGGGTCTGGCTTTTGTCCTGTAGATCTTGGTCCTGTCCAATGCAGCCAAAAATGCGTCATCTGTGGGCGAGATTGTCAACCTGGTATCTGTCGACGTGCAGAAGCTGATGGACCTGATTATTTATTTTAATGGGACTTGGCTTGCTCCTATCCGGATTGTCATCTGCTTTGTCTTCCTTTGGCAGGTAAAAAAAAACAACAAAAAAACACAACTCTGATTGTCTATGGAGATTCTCAGTCATCCAGATCATGGTTGTCTCTGATTACATCAGCTCTGATTATATGGTCATGCCTTCTTAATCCATAACGATGCGGTTATATATATATATATATTCAATTTTTTTGTGGCTGGCAAAGAGTTAGTGGGAGACTAGTATAGCTATTTCAGGCTCATTAGCCCTCATCAGCTAGTCACACCCTTCAGGGATTCGAACCTGGGCAGCTGCCTAACATGCAAGCTGCCTGCTCCTAGATTGGAGCAAAATGCAGAACAGACTGATTTATATTTGGTAGACCGGGTGCCTCACCCAACAGATAAGATATATATTTTGTATATCTTATTCCCAGATCTGGGAAGTTTTTCCTCCTTGAGATGCAGAAAGAATCGAATCCTTCCTGGGTTCTCTTTACCTGGCCACTAGATGTCTCCATTAGCTCGTTAAAAATGTTGAAAAGCTCCACCAAGGAAACAGACTTGAGTTGTTAATCATCTTTCTCATGAATATTTCAACTCTGATGCTATTTCCTTCCTGTTCAACAGAAAGAGGTGCACAAAAAATATTATTCTATGTTCTCTTCATTTACATTCTGGTTTCTGCATCCATTAGCTCCTTGGACCATCTGCTTTGTCTGCTGTCGTCATATTTTTAGTTCTCTTACCTCTGAACTTTGTCATCAGCAAGAAGAGAAGCCAGCTCCAGGTATGGGGCCTAAAATACTTCAGTAAATAAGTAAATTTAATTCCCCTCCTTAGCCTGAACTTGTGTCACCTGGTGACGTCCAAAGATGTTGGCCAAGAATTCCTACAAACGGCAACTAAAAGCCAGGCATCTTGGGAGTTGTAGTCTTACACATCTGAAGGACTTCCAGATGGAGAACCTTGACCAGGAACACAATTTTTACATAAGAACATTGTTTCATTGTTATCAGTGGGCAGAGGTGAACCAGAAGCTACTGAATGAAGTCATTGCTGGACACACATCTTTAATTTCATATCGTTTGCTGAAATTTGGCTGAAATTTGAGGGGGGGGAGGAAATACGAAATTTTGTTTTGGGTTCTAATCAAAAGTCTGAGCCTGAAGTTGTCCAACTTTGGGTGTGCCCCAATGGATAATTTATATCCAAGGTTTCAGGTAGACCCCTTCTGTCCATCTATGACTCTTTGCCAGGGCTTTGTGTTTTTTCTTATATAACAATGTTGTCAATCACTTCAGTCATGCCAACTGGGACAATATAAAACAAAGCAAAAAGATCTGTAAGAAGTAATATAACTTAATAAAATAAGATAAATATGAATACTCTAAGTTGGACCTTCTTACCGACCAAGGTCAAACATATCCTTGGGGGATTTGATCTTCAGAGCTTGTGAAATGCAAGAAGGGTCAGGGCTGAGCACAACTCCATTTGTGTTTGTGTCTGAGTGTCGTGGTGTAAAGATTAGAATTATTCCTAAGTATTACAATTCCAATTGTCTTATTGGGCCTACAAACTTCAACTCCATCTTTCAGGAAGCTCAGATAAAGTATAAGGACAGCCGTGCAAAGCTTACCAGCACCATCCTCAGTGACGTGAAGGTCCTCAAACTGCATGGCTGGGAGAAGAACTTCATAAGCAAAGTGCTGGGCATCCGAACTCAAGAACTTCAAGCTCTCAAGACGTCTCAGTTCCTCTTCTCAGCTTCTCTTGCCTCTTTCCAGTCATCCACTTTTCTGGTGAGCCCTGCAGGTTGACCTCCCTAAAATGCCGTATGGTTTTGATAAGGGTTTCACCCCTTCTCCTGCTTGCTTCCCTACAGATTTCGTTCATCGTCTTTGCGGTCTACACGTTGTCGGATAAGACAAATGTCTTGGATGCTAAGAAAGCTTTTGTTTCTCTTAGCTTGGTCAACATTCTCAATACGGCTCATTCCTTTCTTCCATTTTCCATTAACGCTGTTGTGCAGGTGAGTTGCTTTGACTACATTGCATCAGTTTCACTGGTGGGTCATCCTTCCAGGCACACCGGTTCTGCATTTCTTCAAGTGGTCCTTCTGTTGTTAGGCAGTTGCTTCAAACATGTGGACACCTCCAAAGAAATCATCTTGCTCTTTTTCCTTGTTCATCTTCCTGATGAGATCCCACAGCAAGGGAAGGAGGACCGTCTAGAACCATTGTCCAAAAATGATTTAAAAGCTTGAGGGCATCCTGGTTTTCTTCTAGACCAGGAGTTTCCAAATTCTTCAGCTCAAAAGTGTTCCTTGACCCCTAAGCATTTATCTTGAAAATAATTTAATAAAGACTCCTTTAACTGATAGTAGTACAAATAACAACATAATAATAATAAATAAATAAACAAGGCCAGTGATATCACATGGCTGATAGAGACAACTAAAGGCCATTCTTGTTAGCAGCTGACCATCCAACCTTGAGTAATACTGTCTCATCTCACCTTCAGGTCTACAAACCGGGGTGAAGCACTACATCAGGGGTCTTCAAACTTGGCCCTTTGATGACTTGTGGACTTCAATTCCCAGAATTCCTCAGCCAGCATGCCTGGCTGAGGAATTCTGGGAGTTGAAGTCCACAAGTCATCAAAGGGACAAGTTTGAAGACCCCTGCTCTACATGAAACTCCAAAAACTTAATTGATCCCAATTGACCTTTTATCCTTCATCTACTGACCTCCCAGACATTTAATGGCAACCTTTTGACCTCCAACCATTTATTGACCACTTGGATGGTCTCATTGACTGTTGGTCTCATTGAATATTGATCACTTTGGAGAACCGTATCCAAACCTTTTGTTATCTATGTGGTGTTGACGTGTATTTTGTTCTAGGCAAAAGTTTCCATCCGTCGCTTAGCTACCTTTCTTTCTCTTGAAGAATTGGATCCAACACAGGTGGACGTTGAGTCTTCGGACTGCGGTAAGTATTGGGTTTGTGTTTCCCTCAAAATGGGTGGTCTAGAGTTTCCAATCGGCATAAACATGATTGATTATCCTGAGAATTAAAGCCTGAACATCATCTTGAGAGCTTGAAGTTCTTGAATTCAGATGCCCAGAACTTTGCTTATGAAGTTTTTCTCCCAGCCATGCAGTTTGAGGACCTTCCCGTCACTGAGGATGGTTGGGTGGGACCAGATTAGCCACTGAAATCCCTAGAGTGACTAATCCAGGGATCTTCAAACTTGGCCCTTTGATGACTTGTGGACTTCAACTCCCAGAATTCCTCAGCCAGGCACGCTGGCTGAGGAATTCTGGGAGTTGAAGTCCACAAGTCATCAAAGGGCCAAGTCTGAAGACCCCTGGACTAATCTAACTTTTGTGAACAGATGTGAGAGCTTGTAAGGAGACTGGGAAAGGAATTGGAGAATAGATACGGGTGGTCCTTATCGCCACAACTGCAACCAGACCAGTGACTAAGTGATCATTAACTGACTCACATGTGATTTTACATCCTTTTTTGTCATGGTTGTTAAGTGAATCACTGTGATTATTAAGTGAATCACATGGTCATTAAGCAAATCCACTTCCCCCCCCCATTGATTTTGCTTGTCAGAAGCCCCCTGGGAAGTAGCAATCATGAGACCCTGGGAGGCTGCAAGTGCCATAAATACACTCTGGTTAGCAAGTGCCTGAGTTTTGATCCCTTGACACCATGACAGTCATAAGTGCGAGGACTGATTCAAGTCCCTTTTCTCTGTGTCGTCCTAGCTTTGGACTCTCCTTAAACCAATGCTCTTCAGTCAAGATTTGCCGTATTATGATTCAGCGTACGATGAGAACCTGACAAAAGAGCAATACACAGAAGCATATAATTCACATAATTGTATACAAAAACTTCTGCGGGGGTGGCAGTGGCCTCGTAACTGGGTGCGCCCTAACGAACTTTTTCGAAATAATATCGAAAGCAGACCATCATCCCCAAACGTGTGCTGATTCATGCATTTTTCTGTTAGATCCAAACTGCATTATGGTCACGAATGGAACTTTCAGCTGGTGCAGAGAAGGCAGTCCGTGCCTGAATAGGTAAAACGTCGGTGGTTCAGTTGGAAGTACAATTCTCTCCCCCCTCCTTTACAGCAGAAGAAACTAGGGAGGGTCCCATCTGAGCCTTTTGCTTTGCCTATTGTTCTGTCCCAGCCTATGTGAGTCCTTGTTGAGCTCACAAGGAGAAACCCCTCTTCCAACAAGCAGGCTGGAACCGCAGGAAAAAAACCAACCCCCTTTTATTATTCACAGACCTGAGTCAATGTCCAAGGCAAACAAACAGTCCACAGAAACTCGATTCCTTAACACGAACAATTGCCTTCGGCAACCAGCACCTCCCACACCTTCCCTTTTATTATGCAGCCAAGGCGTGGCTGCCTTCTCCTTTGCCTTTGGAGCTGCCCCATTGCATTCCTCTGTCCTACTCTCTTTTCTTGCCGGCGTTTTCATGCATCCTGGATATCTCCCAGCTGTGAGTCATCACTGTCCAACTCAGACTCCCAGCACAGCTGTGTCTCAGCCTGAGCGTGAATAAGTCTAGGTGCTATTGCTATTGCCACTAACTCAGCCTTCCATCCTTCCGAGGTGGGTAAAATGGGGAACCAGATTGTTGGGGGCAATAGGCTGACTCTGTAAACTGCTTAGAGAGGGCTGTAAAGCACCGTGAAGCAGTATATAAGTCTAAGTGCTATTGCTATTGCTATTATTTCCTGTCCCTTTCTGTACCTCCAGATCTCCACCTTGAATTTAGTCTGGCTAGTGCCAGGATCTTCCCACCCACAATACAGCTTGAAGGTGACTAAGATGTACATTTTTACCTTTATAGGATAAATCTTACGGTACCTCGGGGCAGTCTGTGTGCCGTGGTGGGTCAAGTGGGGGCTGGCAAATCCTCCCTGCTCTCAGCGTTACTGGGTGAACTGCAAAGAATGGAAGGTTCCGTAGTAATCAAGGTAAAGCACTTTAAAACCGAATTTATTCAAGGTGTGGTTAGCTTTCCCCAACCCAAGCACCATCTGAATATGTAGACTTCAACTCCCAGAATTCTCAACCATGGCCTCATTGGCTCGGGAACTCTAGGAACTGAGAGGACCACTTTGAAAGGACAACCAGACTGGGACAATCTGCTTTAGGATCTAGTTTATTTTTGTGTGTTGTAATTCTGGCATTTCATGTTATGGTTTTAGTAGTTTGAATCCCTTCAGTGGTGGCTTTCAATCGAGGGATCCACCACTTTCAAAACTGGGCTTTTTGGGGGTGTCCTTCAGATGTTGTCATCTCTGTTGGAACTCATGTCTGGCTTGGTAAAAAGGCACCATTTTAGGACCTCTTTTGGGAAACAGAAACTTTGACTTCAGCAGATGCAAGTCTCTCTCTCTCTCTCTCTCTCTCTCTCTCTCTCTCTCTCNACTTCAACTCCATCTTTCAGGAAGCTCAGATAAAGTATAAGGACAGCCGTGCAAAGCTTACCAGCACCATCCTCAGTGACGTGAAGGTCCTCAAACTGCATGGCTGGGAGAAGAACTTCATAAGCAAAGTGCTGGGCATCCGAACTCAAGAACTTCAAGCTCTCAAGACGTCTCAGTTCCTCTTCTCAGCTTCTCTTGCGTCTTTCCAGTCATCCACTTTTCTGGTGAGCCCTGCAGGTTGACCTCCCCAAAATGCCGTATGGTTTTGATAAGGGTTTCACCCCTTCTCCTGCTTGCTTCCCTACAGATTTCGTTCATCGTCTTTGCGGTCTACACGTTGTCGGATAAGACAAATGTCTTGGATGCTAAGAAAGCTTTTGTTTCTCTTAGCTTGGTCAACATTCTCAATACGGCTCATTCCTTTCTTCCATTTTCCATTAATGCTGTTGTGCAGGTGAGTTGCTTTGACTACGTTGCATCAGTTTCACTGATGGGTCATCCTTCCAGGCACACTGGTTCTGCATTTCTTCAAGTGGTCCTTCTATTAGGCAGTTGCTTCAAACATGTGGACACCTCCAAAGAAATCATCTTGCTCTTTTTCCTTGTTCATCTTCCTGATGAGATCCCACAGCAAGAGAAGGAGGACCGTCTAGAACCATTGTCAAAAATGATTTAAAAGCTTGAGGGCATCCTGGTTTTCTTCTAGACCAGGAGTCTCCAAATTCTTCAGCTCATTGACCCCTTCAGGAAGTGTCAAAAGTGTTCCTTGACCCCCAAGCATTTATTTTGAAAATAATTTAATAAAGACTCCTTTAACTGATAATAGTACAAATAACAACAACAACATCATAATAATAATAATAAAGAAAGAAAGCCAGTGATATCACGTGGCTGATAGAGACAACTAAAGACCACTCTTGTTAGCAGCTGACCATTCAACCTTGAGTAATACTGTCTCATCTCACCTTCAGGTCTACAAACTGGGGTGAAGCTCTACATCAGGGGTCTTCAAACCTGGCCCTTTGATGACTTGTGGACTTCAGTTCCCAGAATTCCTCAGCCAGGCCAAGTTTGAAGACCCCTGCTCTACATGAAACTCCAAAAACTTAATTGATCCCAATTGATCCCAATTTATATTTCACCTACTGACCTCCCAGACATTTTGACCTCCAACCATTTATTGACCACTAGGATGGTCTCATTGACTGTTGGCCTCATTGAATATTGATCACTTTGGAGAACCGTATCCAAACCTTTCATTAACTGCATGGTGTCAACGTGTATTTTGTTCTAGGCAAAAGTTTCCATCCGTCGCTTAGCTACCTTTCTTTCTCTTGAAGAATTAGATCCAGCACAGGTGGACATTGAGTCTTCGGACCGCGGTAAGTATTGGCTTTGTGTTTCCCTCCAAATGGGTGGTCTAGAATTTCCAATCGGCGTAAACATGATTGATTATCCTGAGAATTAAAGCCTGAACGTCATCTTGAGAGCTTGAAGTTCTTGAATTCAGATGCCCAGAACTTTGCTTATGAAGTTTTTCTCCCAGCCATGCAGTTTGAGGACCTTCATGTCACTGAGGATGGTTGGGTGGGACCAGATTAGCCACTGCAATCCCTCAAGTGACTAATCCAGGGGTCTTCAAACTTGGCCCTTTGATGACTTGTGGACTTCAACTCCCAGAATTCCTCAGCCAGGCGTGCCATCAAAGGGCCAAGTTTGAAGACCCCTGGACTAATCTAACTTTGGTGAACAAATGTGAGAGCTTGTAAGTAGACTGGGAAAGGAATCGGAGAACAGATAGGGGTGGTCCTTATCCCCACAATTGCAACCAGACCGGTGGCTAAGTATCATTAACTGACTCACACCTGATTTTACATCCTTTTTTGCCATGGTTGTTAAGTGAATCTCTGTGATTATTAAGTGAATCACATGGTCATTAAGCAAATCCATTTGCCCCCCCATTGACTTTGCTGGTCAGAAGCCCCCTGGGAAGTAGCAATCATGAGATCCTGGGAGGTTGCAAGTGCCATAAATACACTCTGGTTGCCCAGTGCCTGAGTTTTTATCCCTTGACACCATGACAGTCATAAGTGCGAGGACTGATTCAAGTCCCTTTTCTCTGTGTCGTCCTAGCTTTGGACTCTCCTTAAACCAATGCTCTTCAGTCAAGATTTGCCGTATTATGATTCAGCGTACAATGAGAACCTGACAAAAGAGCAATACACAGAAGCATATAATTCACATAATTGTATACAAAAACTTCTGCGGGGGTGGCAGTGGCCTCGTAACTGGGTGCGCCCTAACGAACTTTTTCAAAATAATATTGAAAGCAGACCATCATCCCCAAACGTGTGCTGATTCATGCATTTTTCTGTTAGATTCAAACTGCATTATGGTCACGAATGGAACTTTCAGCTGGTGCAGAGAAGGCAGTCCGTGCCTGAATAGGTAAAACGTCGGTGGTTCAATTGGAAGTACAATTCTCTCCCCCCTCCTTTACAGCAGAAGAAACTAGGGGGGGTCCCATCTGAGCTTTTTGCTTTGCCTATTGTTCTGTCCCAGCCTACGTGAGTCCTTGTTGAGCTCACAAGGAGAAACCCCTCTTCCAACAAGCAGGCTGGAACCGCAGGAAAAAAACCAACCCCCTTTTATTATTCACAGACCTAAGTCAATGTCCAAGGCAAACAAACATAGTTCACAGAAACTCGATTCCTTAACATGAACAATTGCCTTCGGCAACCAGCACCTCCCACACCTTCCCTTTTATTATGCAGCCAAGGTGTGGCTTCCTAATACCTTCTCCTTTGCCTTTGGAGCTACCCCATGGCATTCCTCTGTCCTACTCTCTGTACCTCCAGATCTCCACTTTGAATATAGTCTGGCTGGTGCCAGGATCTTCCCACCCACAATACAGCTTGAAGATGACTAAGATGTACATTTTTACCTTTACAGGATAAATCTTACGGTACCTCGGGGCAGTCTGTGTGCCGTGGTGGGTCAAGTGGGGGCTGGCAAATCCTCCCTGCTCTCAGCATTACTTGGTGAACTGCAAAGAATGGAAGGTTCCATAGTAATCAAGGTAAAGCACTTTAAAACCGAATTTATTCAAGGTGTGGTTAGCTTTCCCCAACCCAAGCACCATCTGAATATGTAGACTTCAACTTCCAGAATTCTCAGCCATGGCCTTATTGGCTCGGGAACTCTAGGAACTGAGAGGACCACTTTGGAAGGACAACCAGACGGGGACAATCTGCTTTAGGATCTAGTTTATTTTTGTGTGTTGTAATTCTAGCGTTTCATGTTATGGTTTTAGTAGTTTGAATCCCTTCAGTGGTGGCTTTCAATCGAGGGATCCACCACTTTCAAAACTGGGCTTTTTGGGGGTGTCCTTCAGAAGTTGTCATCTCTGTTGGAACTCATGTCTGGCTTGGTGAAAAGGCACCATTTTAGGACCTCTTTTGGAAAACAGAAACTTTGACTTCAGCAGATGCAAGTCTCTCTCTCTCTCTCTCTCTCTCTCTCTCTCTCTCTCTCTCGTGATAATTTGATGAGTTTCACTACTTTTCTTTTCAAAGGGCACCATAGCGTTGGCTCCCCAGATATCCTGGATACAAAATGCTTCTGTAGAAGACAATATCGTATTTGGGAAAAAAATGGAGAGGACGTGGTACAATGAGGTGGTCAAAGCTTGCGCCCTGCAGCCCGACATAGACAGTTTTCCAGCTGGAAGCCAGACAGAAATTGGAGAGAAGGTTCTTGGATCACATTACTATGTTATTTATCTAGTAACATATCTAGGAATATGGTGGTACTGTTGGTCTTCTTCTTCTTCTTCTTCTTCTTCTTCTTCTTCTTCTTCTTCTTCTTCTTCTTCTTCTTCTTCTTCTTCTTCTTCTTCTTCTTCTTCTTCTTCTCCTTCTTCTCCTCCTCCTCCTCCTCCTCCTCCTCCTCCTCCTCCTCCTCCTCCTCCTCCTCCTCCTCCTCCTCCTCCTCCTTCCTCTCCTTCTCCTCTTCTTCTCTTTCTCCTCCTCCTCCTTTTAGAAATCCTTTGGAAAAAAATCTCAAAATTTTTACTGCTGTCACTCAAGCATGATATATACCCCTCTCTAGACCAGTGAAATGAAACAACTCCCTAATGGTTGAGTTGTGATGAAAGAGCATCTGCTTTGCACTCAAAGAGGTCCAGTTCAAACTCCAGCATCTCCAAAGGGCAAACAAAACCTTATGTTTATTTTAAATAAATCTTTGAGTTCTTTTCCCAGTCAGTGTGGATTGGAGAAGTAGGAAAGAGGACCTGGCACCCTCCAAAGATTGCTAATTCTGTCCCCAGAAGCTTTAGCTTGCATGGTCTGTAGTGAGAGATAATGGAAGATGATTGATTTTTGCTGCTACAGGGCATCAATCTTTCTGGAGGGCAAAAGCAGAGGCTCAGCCTGGCTCGTGCAGTTTATACGAAGGCCTCAGTTTACCTCCTGGACGATCCCCTCTCTGCTGTGGATGCTCCAGTTGGCCAGCACATTTTCAACCAAGTTCTTGGACCAAATGGCTTGTTGAAGGAAAAGGTACTTGGTGTTCCAAACTCTCCTATGTTTGTCGGAAGAGGATCTGATGCATTACAGGGCGTCTACTATTTACAGTTCAGTTATTTATGGAGTTCACCATTTGGCCTGCCGCCTCTTGTAATCAACATCTCAAAGCTCATTTGGTCAGTATCTCAGGGATTGTCCTCTTGCTTTCCAGACTCGCATCCTGGTGACCAACTCCATCCACGTTCTTCCCAAAGTGGACAACATCATTGTGATGGTGAATGGAGAACTGTGTGAGATGGGCTCTTGGCAAGGACTGATACAAAAGCAAGGGGCATTTTCAGACTTCTTGAGGTCCCAGAACCCTGAAGAAAAAGACCACGAGGATTTGCAAATGACTGCTGGTCATCTCAAAGGTCATCCATACTTAACGGTTGATACAACTGAGTATTATTATCCATGAATAGACTTGTTAGAATTGGAGCCACTTCGTGTATTCTTTGGGGTTTCTGACAAAACCCTTCACCCAATTTATTCATGTGTTCTTCAGAGGGCTCTTGACCCCTAGCAAAAGTCATCTGGAAGCCAAGATTGGTAGAAGGCAGAACCAGATATGATCAAACAGAACAGAATAACAGAGCTGGAAGGGAACTTAGAGGTCTTCTAGTCCAGCCCCCTGCTCAAGCAGGAGACCCTATATCATTTCAGACAAGTGGCTGTATAGTCTTTTCTTAAACCTCCAGTGATGGAGCCCCTAACACTTCTGAAGGCAAGCTGTTCTTAATGCTACAGTTATAGTGAGTAGGGTGTGTAGAATTATACATCTACACAATTAAAGTGGCCATGAAGAAGGGAAAAGAAACCACAGTGGCATCACTGCACAAATAATGTGTAATTTGAGTTATTTCTGGTTTTCATTTCTCCCTTCCCTTCTGTGGATGGTCATGATTGCATCATGTTGATAATCTTGTGAAATTACTACCCCATGGACTATGGCATAGAAGTCCTGTGTGATTACTATTTCCGGCTCCCAAATCCATACATTTTCTCAAAATCTGTGGGTTATTCTTCTAAGGTCTCTCTGTCATGTCCTTTCTGAGACTTTGGTCCATCTTGACTCCACAGATATGGGAAACATTAAGAGGATCTCCACAACTCCTGTGACACAGGATGAAACCCCTGGAAAGTAAGTGATTTATTTCTTTGTTTGTTTGAAGACCCCTGGGTTAAGGCATCAGCCTAAAAACTGGAAGATGGCGAGTTCTTTTCTAAAATGCAGGCAGTCGATGCATCTTACTTTTCTTTGAACAAAGGACAAGTCAGCCTTTGGTCAAGAGAGACAGTTATAAGCCGACGGATGAGCAAGGAAAAAGACTAATGACAGAAGACAAGAAGCAAAAGACTGGACGGGTAAGTTAAAGGATCTTCTTATTCGGTTCATGCGTGAGGATGAACTTCACAATTTTATTCAGTTGGGGGCCTTTTTCGCTTTCAAGCAGTTTGGGCTTTCATCCTTTGAATATTATTAACAATTATCATTCTTGCACAGTCAACCAGTTGTTCAGACCGGATTTGGCATTTTTGTCCAACTATTGAGTTCTTTCCAAGGTCCTGAGATAGGCAGATGTGGATGTTTGATATTGTTAAAGGTTTCGTCGCAAGATGCAAGCTATTCCAAGTCAAGCTGCCTTTTGCAATTGACCGACGGTGATTTTGTCAATGCCGATGGTGTTCAAGTCAAGCTCCTGAAGTTTTGAGAGTGTACCCAATATTCCGATGATGATGATGATGATGATGGTTTGTTGCACAGTCAGTTGGATGTTTAGATTAGATTTGGCATTTTTATCTACCTATCGAGTTCTTCCCAAGGACCTGGGATGGGTAGATGTTATTTTAAGGTAGTGTCACAAGATGTAAGTTGTTCCAGGTCAAGCTGCCTTTTGCAATTGACTGATGGTGTTTTTGTCAATGCCGATGGTGTTCAAGTCAAGCTCCTGAAGTTTTGAGATTGCACCCAATATTCCTATTATGATGATGATGATGATGGTTTGTTGCACAGTCAGTTGGATGTTTAGATTTGGCATTTTTAGCTACCTATTAAGTCCTTCCCAAGGACCTGAGATGGGCAGATGTTATTTTAAGATAGCGTCACAAGATGTAAGCTGTTCCAGGTCAAGCTGCCTTTTGCAATTGACCAATGGTGATTTTGTCAATGCTGATGGTATTCAAGTCAAGCTCCTGAAGTTTTGAGATTACACCCAATATTCCTATGATGATGATGATGATGATGATGGTTTGTTGCACAATCAGTTGGATATTTAGATTTGGCATTTACCTATTAAGTCCTTCCCAAGGACCTGGGATGGGCAGATGTTATTTTATGGTGTTAAAGGTATCGTGGAAAGATGTAAGTCAAGCTGCCTTTTGCAATTGACCGATGGTGATTTTTGTCAATGCCAGTTCTTATTCTTATTTCTTTCCCTTGATTTAGGTAAAGATTTCAGTATACCTGAAGTACCTAAGAACTGCAGGCTCCCTCTTCTGGGTTTATATTGTACTCCTGTTTGCCTGCCAGCAAGTTTTCTCATTCTGCCGTGGCTATTGGCTCAGCCTGTGGGCCAATGACCCCATTTCCAATGGGACACAGCCTCATACCCAGCTCCGTGTGGGCGTCTTTTTTCTCCTAGGATTCACGCAAGGTTTGGCTAACTCCCTTGTAGAAGGCAGCATGGAATTCTGGGAGTTGAAGTCCACCCAACTTAAAAGTTACCCTCTCTCGCTCCCTTTAGTACTTTCGGTCATCTAATGGTTCTTTTTGATTTTAATTTATGATGGTGACCTATCTTAGGTGCCCCTCACAAACCGCAGAAATCGGGACCTTAAATTCGTTCAGGTAAAAGTATCACCACCAAATATTTTATTCATTCATTTCTTCCAGGGAGGTCCAACTTTGGCAACTTTAAGACCGGTGGACTTGAACTCCCAGAATTCTTAAAAGTTGCCAAGGTTGGATGTCCCTGATTCATTCATTCAATCAATCAATCAATTAATCAATGTATATAGCCGCCCATCTCACTTTTACATGAGGATAATTCTGATAAGAAGCAGGCCCCAGTTGCCTGAAACAGCTGGAATCTTTCATCTTTTGTTGCAGCCCTTGGGAAATTTGGATCTGTTGCTGCTGTGTTTTTGGCCGGGATCGTGGCTTCCCGTAAGCTCTTCCAGCAGCTCCTGTGGGATGTTCTCCGGTCTCCAATGATCTTCTTTGAGCAGACTCCCAGCGGTAACCTACTCAACCGTTTCTCCAAAGAAATGGACGCAATTGATTCCATCATCCCGGACAAGCTGAAGTCTCTGTTGGGCTTCCTATTTAACCTTCTGGAGATCTATGTTGTGATTGTGGTGGCCACCCCGATGGTTTTGGTGGCTATTTTGCCTCTGTCAGCCTTATATGTTGCTGTTCAGGTGTGTAGCGTCTTCAGAACCAGAACTAGAACTAACTAGAAAACTTGAACTACCTGTTTACCTGTAGATAGAACTAGAACTATTGTGTATGGATAGAACTAGAACAAGATCAAGAACTAGAACTAACTAGAACTACCTATTTATTTAATCATTCATTTATTTATCTAT